CAGTGGCTTGGGCAGCTTGCTGGATTGCAGCCAGAGAATGAAATAGTAACAGCCATGTCGCGGCAGCTGATACGATCCATCTCACGAAGGCGCTGTGTTATCCCGGCGATTGCAGCCTGCCTGAAAATGTCCCACGAGAATTTCAAATTCCATGCAAATCCTGCAGGGAGAAGTCAGAAATGTGCACCGGGGTAAATGTATACAATATTTTTTAGTTTTACACAAAAGCACTTTTAAAAATGCCATTGAAAAGCAAACTATGATTATGCTCGAGCACGCTAACCAAAGTCCACGTGATTATCTGCATCCCTCTCATCCTATTATAGAAATAAACAAGTTATTCCTCACATAGGTTCTAAAACTTTGGTCCTTTGGGTCCATATTTGCACATTCATATGCAAATGCAGTTTCATATGCACGCGCAGAGGCCTGAAAAGCATACGATTTGCATATCTCAAAGTCAGGAGTGATATGTAGGCCTAAGACATGTAATAGGCTGAGGGTGGGGGGTAAGATCTGTATGTGGTATCCATTTTGTTTTATTTATCATGCCGGGTGTGGACAATAAAGTGCATGAGCAATAAACAGTTTAGTTCGACTCTTTTAGTAGCGATAAATGTTGACTCATATTGTACCTATGCCAACAAAAAGCATCATATTTAGGCATGAAATGGCACATTGTGGGCGAAGCTGTCAAATGACTATGACAAAACTTTGGCTGTGGCGGGCACCGATAGCCAGTGATTTAGGTGTAGGGCACTTCTGATAAACGTACTCATAATCATCACCATTGTGCTGAGTGTTTTTTTCACGTAATTTTAAAGGAGAGATGCGTTATAATCCAAACATGGGTAATCAAGCCCTTGTAAGAATTCAGCAAGGGATTATTGATATCTCAATAATATTTATTGGATAATCCAACAAATTTGACCAAAGCACCCAACCAAGAGATGTTTTTCGTGTCCACAAAAAAATTGCAGATGGTGCACTTCGACACTGATAATTGTAGCATATTATTACGAGGAAAATGATTTTAAAAAAAAACTGGTTAACCCTGAACTTGAATGCAATCATACTGAAAAAGAAGTAACCGATCACGGACATAACAGCTACGTTATTGATTCTCTAATGTTGGTTTAGCGAGACAGTGGTGGGACACCCCTGTGATCCAGCACTGTGGAGGCGAGGGTTGCTGAATCGCACAAATGCTGTGATACTCCTCTTTCCATGGGTGTCAAGGTGTCAAACTCTGGCCTGCCAGTAGAAGGCAGTACAGCAAATGTTGACTCCAACTGTCCCTTCTGTATGGGATCGTGTTGCCCCCTCCCACTCGCTGGTTTTCTCTGGGTGCTCCGATTTTATTCCACTCATTCATTGACCGATTACACCTTAATATATAGAGGACCGCAGAGCTTGGGGAGAAATGTGGCACCAGCTCACTGCCTCACATTGTGTTCATTGGACATTGTGTTCATTGGACATGGCGATGAATTTGATCACTGTTCATGGAGAAGCTCCCAGCTCTCAGCACGTGGAGTGAAACGTCAGGCGTTGTGCCAAACAACAGCAATGCAGTACAACCTGAAACCGGGTCAGAGAGCTTTACAGCACGAACGCAAGAAGGCCATGCCTTAGTGTACACTCTCAGTATTTGAGAAGATCAAACAAATCTTTGTTGCACGCGCTGAATTGTGTAGCTGCAGTTCAAAAATGCACTTCTTTAAAATCTACATTCCTGCCATTCTCATGAGGATATTTTTTATCATTCATAAACAGATTGTTACCAAACTTGTTATTTTGTATCACCACAGATGTATTCAACCAAATGTTTACTTTCTTCATCATTACATTTTATCAGCTAATTTTGTACTTTCTAGTGCTTGAAGCACACCATGGGTGAATTGATGTTTGATTGGAAACCAGAGGGCTCCATTTAATACATATTCTTCTATAATCGCCCCAAAAAGGTGCTTTTTATTTAATGTCTGATAAATCTAATATGACATATCAATCTTTTTTTACCCCATTATCTGTATTTTCTGTTCTGATAATAGGCAATTTTCAGCTACATGTGTCATCTTAGATTTTTAGAAGCATCAAATGTGAACCCCTGTAAGATCTGCACGGATTATTATTCACGGTTTACCACTACTCTGCTGTTGTAAGGGTTTTTTTTAATCTTTTTAAATTGTCAGTGCACTGAAAATCTTAAAATACTTTATAGGCATGCATCAGCCTCTCTTGTGACCTACATAATTATTACTCAAATTGAGTAATGTTGATTAAATCTAACACATTATGAATTGTTTGTTACATGCAAACGCAGCTTCTGTTTACCATCTTGCATGTCAGAAATTTTAGGGAGTTGCATCATTGTAATGTACAAATATACTCAAAAGAAATGCTATACTGTTGCACATGAAGAGGATACCTTACAGGATTAGACATTGTGTGCAATGAATTGATACTGACATTATCACACCACATTAATTTTCAATTCCAGCAACGAGTATATTCTAAAAATGATTGAGACACAATTGTAAAGCTTCCACGGTTTTAAAAATGCCGTGCAAATGTCCTTACATGTACAGTTGATCTGATTTAAACGAAGTTTCTTACAGAACAAAAAATGCCTGCCCTGAAATTTGTTTTTGGGCATTTTAACGTACACTTCACTGTACCAGTAAAGCATGTCCAAGACATTTTTGCGTTGAAAAATGAAAAGCAATTCCAGAATTAGTCCAAGCAGCCTAGCGGTGAGGTCTTCTGCTTTCCCCTTTGTCCAAATGTTTTAAAATAAATTGTGCCCTAACTTGGAAATCGTCCACTTGAATGTGGCAGCTAGACCAGCAGTGCATACAGAAAAGGCTGCAATTATCCAATGGGCTAATGCGATAACCCAACCGAAGGGTTATCTAATCTTCCTTTTAAAAAAAAACATCCCTCCATGCCAAATTTGTAGAATTGTGATTAAGCTCAAATAATTTTAGATTACACGATGGTGCTATTTATGCAGCTCCTTGACAGCTCTACAGCTCACACGGCTTATTCTAGCAATGTCAATAACAAGTGAACATAACCAGTTTATATGTATATTAGTAGCCCAGGGGAAAAAAGGCTATAAAATGCAAACATTAAGAATTACAACCATAAGAAGCAACATCTGAGTTGGAGTACTGTGGCATATGATGGATGGCTTTCGATGGCTTATTGCCATATATTTTTTACAACATAAAATACTTTTACATGAAATACAAGTACATTTGCCTACAACTGTAATTAAGAACGTGTTTAGTTGTAAAAAGATGGTTGTAAACATATTTCCATGATGAACAAAAATATACACGTTTTATTTCTTTGTCACTGAGAGAGATGTTATTTGCGTTAAGATAGTAAAATTTTGATTTAAAGCTTTTGTGACTGCAGGGATTCATATTCTTGGTTCTTGCGGTAAAGTCACGTAGAAGGGAAAAAATAAAATAATACAAAATATAAAACAATAAAATTCTCACGACGTTTCGACTGCAACACAAGCAATCATCATCAGGTGTGAAAACCACAGCAAGAAATTTTGAAAAAAGTGGCGCTTTTTTTAACGTTAGCACCACGGAGAGCGATTTGGCAGTTATTCAGATGGACGAATCCATCTATGTTCGGAAAAGAGGAGGGGGGAGACGAAAATAATGGATGCGGTCTGAAAGCCACCGTAAGCGTGAACAATCAATTAAGACCCGAAATAGTTTATCAAATCCTTCCAATGATTGCTAGGCCAAAATCCATCTTCTCGGTTGAAATTGTCTCTGTGTTTGTATATGTGGATAGCCTCATGAACGAATCTCTCATGGTAGCCATATGGCTTGCAAAGAACCTGTCTTGGAGAAGTCAATGTCATGTGAGCCTACTGAATTATAACAGTGATCTGCCACGGCCGAGGTGTTGGTCCTACCGTGTTTTAGGTCTGCTTTGTGTTCACGAATGCAGTCCGAGACATGTCGTTTGGTTTCTCCAATGTAACTACTACCACAGAGGCAACTTAGTTTCAGACCGCATCCATTATTTTCGTCTCCCCCCTCCTCTTTTCCGAACATAGATGGACTCGTCCATTTGAACAAACTGCCAAATCGCTCTCCGTGGTGCTAACGTTAAAAATAACCGCCACTTTTTTCAAATTTTCTTGCTGTGGTTTTCACACCTGATGATGATTGCTTGTGTTGCAGTCGAAACGTCGTGAGAATTTTATCGTTTTATATTTGTATTATTTTGTTTCCCTTCTACGTGACTTTACCGAAAGAACCAATAATATTTAAGATAGTAACTTTATAATTTTTACTGCAAAGATTTGTTTTGTAATGTGCAGCTCCCGCATGTTTATCGGCATGACGTCTGACGTTTTGCACTACTGGTAAGAGGCTTCTTCACGAGCTAGACATTTCAGTTGCTGAAGAAGCTCCCAGAAACTGCACACTTAATTTCCTTAAGCGGAATATCAATTAGCTTGATGACTACTATTTTTAAAAAAATAAACACGATGAAACATTTAAGATATGACTAGGTTGTGACTAGAGTGTTCCGTATCCGTAAATGTGACTGATGGCGAAAACATTCTACAATCTAAGAAGTACAAATCATCTTAACCGCAAGTGTCAAATTCGATACAAGGTCATGTCACACTGATGCCATTCGACCTTTCTGCGTGTGCTGCTATTAAGCGGCAGGTATGGCCTTTCATACAAATTGTGCGACTACTTCTCCGTTTAAAAACAGACGCAAGAAAACGTCGTGAGAATATTATTGAGTTATTTTATTTTATCAATTTATTATTTTATTCTCATTCTACGTGGTGACTTTACCGAAAGAACCAAAGAAGATGAATCCTTGCAGTCACGAAAGCTTTAAATCGAAAAAGAATCATGCAGTTTCTCCAAAAAAATGTGTTTTTAAAGATAATAAACTGATAATGTATTAGCAGAATCCGTTGAACAATAAACAAGCAACATTCGTTTTTTTTTAAATGAATTTATTGAACATAAAAAAGGAATGCGAGTGGTATGACCAAAGGCTCGCGTCATGCCGGGCCAGTAAAACAGCACACATTGATGCACAGCACTTTACTCACTTACCCATGGCTGCATTTTCAAACATGCCTGCCTAATCTTTAGATAAGCAAGTCCACTGCCTCAGTGCATTTCTTCTAACTTTGCTAATTGCAATACTAGCCGAACTCAAAATACAAGTGATAATAACGCATACCACAGCATGCAAGATGGCATACAGTGCATCCCATCAGTCCGTCGGAATTCCAAAGGGGCTTGCGGAAAGCGCAAAAAGGCGGTCGTTGACAAAATATAATCTCAAAATGACGATAGCGGGAATGCAAACGCAACCAAAGGGGGTTGGCAGTAGCCCAGGATAAGTCAACGCCATTTGCATTTTGTGGTTTGTCATTTCAAGGTCATCTTTAATCGACTCAATTGTTATGGTCCCATGAGATGTTGCATAACCTAGAAATGCCAAGGCATGCAACAATCCAAACACCGAGCGACGCTCACGATAGCAAAAAAAAAAACGTGGAAGGTGCTGTGGTTTGCAAACGTTGAGCCATTTTATGCTCGATTAAGTTGTTAGGATAAGAACAAATGCATTGTTTAAAAAAATAGAATAAAGCAATGCGGGTAACAAAAACACGTTGTTTTAAGACATATATTGTATTGTACACTGCTTTGTGAAACAAATTACTTTACATACATGTCAAATTTGGATTTCATAGTACAGTACTATTTACAGCATGGATTTACATTTCATAATACACAAGGGGAATGTGCTCTTTAATTCATGCTTAAGTTCATGCTTAAGCTCTCGATCTATGTGCTATTTTACCTTTAGTCATCATTCGAACTTTACAAAAACATGTATTGCAGTAAAACATTAAAGTGAATGCTAAATATAAGCAAATGTGAAATACTGCTAAATGTAAATATATTTAAAAGCTGACCAGAAATGTACAAGGTTTAATTTCACCTACCAGCAAGATTTCACAATCATACCAAATGTCAAAGAACATTGCTTTAAGGAGCCAAATAAGTAAAGATCGTTCACAACTTTTCCAATTCAATGATGCTTAAATGCTGTTAAATATCATAAGGAAACTAAACATTTTATTATATTAGCAATATTTTTTTATTTTATTTTAAGCAAATTATGCTATAAATACATCAAAACTGCTGTTTATTACATTTGGGGTTGGGTAATATTAATCAGCAGCAATTAATTCTGATTCTATAGCATTCTCCCAGGCAAGGTGTGTTCAAAAGAGTTAATTGAAACTGATACTTAATTATCATGCATTTAAATTAACTCTATTGTCAACGCATGGCAAAGACACTTCAATTGATGATTCGGTCCAATTAACCAATAAGCATACATTATGTGGAATAAAATAACAGAGGGGTCACACACCTCAATGTCGCAAGCCTAACAAGGCTCAATCATATTTGTCAGGTGATAAGCAGCCTATATGGACAGTTGTGCTGTAAATTACATAAACATGCCAAATGACTATGACAGGTGGCCAAAAAGGACATGAGCGTTTTCAGTTGAGGCTTCAATTTTCCTTGCACCAGGAATAAACAATATCAGAAGTTGAGGGCCCGTCACTGTCTGTCTCTTTGGGTGTTATCCCGAGCTTAGATGTGATTCCATCAAATCATTGCCATGGCAGGCGGATCGCACTACCGAACATCCAAGCTTTTTGCAGAGAGGGGGCAGAAGGGTGTGAAAAGAACTAGAAGCAAAACTGCTCATTGACTGTGGATGTTGCCAGACCACAAGCAGCAGAATGTGAAGGCAAACTGATTCAGTCGTCTTTTAACTCCACCGTTTATTCGTGGGAAATGGAAAGTTCGGTTTGCGAATCACGTAATTGTACCTTAACCGGTTTAAAACTGAAAGCCAACCATGGGGAAACGTGTTATACGATATATATTATGCAAGACACGTGTGTACACTTAAAGATGCTAGCCAAAGGCCAAGCCACATGTTGCAACACTGTCTCAATTCAACTGACCATGTGCATAAAAACGAACAGCAATGGTTGTACAACCAGCATGGCACCATTATTTATAATAAACGAAGTCCTGCAAAAATGTGTGTGAGCATGGGACGTTTCAACTTGCCCCAACAAACTCACTTAAAAGTCCTAAAATTCCAAAGCCACCGTATTACAAGAGGTTAATTTGGCATGAACTAATACAATGGATAACCAGATAACTTTATTATACTGTATATGCTATTGCACAATGCACATCACACAATCTAATTCTGCATTTAGACTCAAATTATGCAAGAAACAACATTTAAAAGAGCTGACCTATTTTACATTTTAAAAGCGTGACTTGAGTATGTTTTTCAATACTCAGTGCAGGGTTAGTTGTATTTTGTTGATACGGTGGTTCATGAAGTAATTTTTCCGTCCTGAAGACGGTGAGTCCGTAATGAGCCAAATCAAGCTGAAGCCATGCAGCACGGTTGCGACTTAACACATCGAACCATTATCGTGCAGACTGATGGACATTATAGCCAAAACAACAAAATCAGCGTGCCTGTCAAAACACTGACCCGGCGTGCGATGTGTACACACCGATGCACTCTCAAGTGGCAGCTTTTTAGAAAGCACTCCCCCCATGATGCACAGATTTGTCACGAAGGAATAAGTGAGATATAATGGTTGGGGGGGGGGGGACGGGGGGGGGGTGTTTGCTGGAGGTTTGCTCAGAATTAAAAAAAAGACTCCTGTCTCCACTTCGCGCCACCATTTTTCCTCCCGAGCACAAAAAAAGATTGCTGGAGCTGCTCAGTCTTTGGCAGTGGCGACGTACGTGTGTGTGCTTCAAAAAGAAATGTCTCGATCGCAGCATTTATAGTTGGGGGTGAAGCATTTTTTTTTTTACACGAGGAAAAGTGTCTGTGGTCTTGTAAAGCGTACGTAGGTAAGCAGTATATTGAAGAAGAGAAAAGGGAATACAGCTGAACGCTACTCTGAACACGCTCCGGCCCTCTTGAAAGCAGAGCTGTTTGGGGAAGGGCACATCAGTCGTAGAACTTGCTCTCACTCCTCAGTTGACAGTACATGATCATGGCAAATGCCATGCCAAGGACCTAAAATGCACAAATACACATTGGACAATTAGAATGGAACAGTCTGAAAATGTTGTTTAAATATGTATTTTGTCACCGCAGTCATGTATAGCTGGGCAAAGTACTGTAATGATTCTACCATTCCACCCAAACCCTACCATTCATGCAGGAAACATGATTCTTCTATGGGTGATTTAATGTAAAAAAAATCTCCATCGAAATTATATTCTAATCGGGATTCTGCCATGGAAACTTCATATCACAGAATGAAATATCGAAAATCCAGCTTAGGTTATGTTGGGTTATTCTTAGCAGAGCTAGCTTAACTAAGCACCCCAGATTCCAGCCAGCCATAATGCTTAATCTGGCAGATTCCATGTGGTTAGGATTGATCAGGATTGCCATTCATATGCATTGAATTAGCAGCTTCGTGTAAAGCCAAGGCTTTACGTACAAATAACTGCACCATGTATTTTCCCAGCCATGTACAAGCACTAGGTGTCAGCTATTCGTTTAAATGGAAATTATTCTAGGATGGCCAGGCCTCAAAGGCGCTCTCTTGTTGCTTAAACACCACAAATGGGCTTCACACAGCCTGGCACTCACAGTTATATAATTTTGCTGACTCCATCCTGTTAGGAATCGTATTCAGTTCAAATCAGAAATATGATTCGTAAAAATAGACCAGCTCTACAGCAATTTAAGCTGACAATTGGTGGATTAAACTTCACAATAACAAAACAAGAGGCCTGCATTTTTAATGAAAATGTCAGGCAATTAAATATATCTGCATTAGGATAACTTCTGTTAAATTTTCACTCGTTTAGTCTGTAAATCCTCAGTCTCAAAGACTCTTTTTCGGGAGGCTCTGACGAATTTTTTGCAGTCAGGAGTAGTTTGCGGATAGTTTTTCAGCATTGGCATGTTTGGCCTACACTAGTTATATCGCATGTTTTGAAAAATATCCCTACCTGAATCAAAGCGATGCACAGGCCAAATATGCCAACAACCATGAGGTGCTCCTGCAGCCACGCTTTCACTTTGTCGTAACAACCCTGGACACACGCACACAGAAAACATCCGAGTAAATTAGCTTGGAAATCCTCATTTGGTGCAAGCCAATAGCCTGCCAGCCAGTAAGTCGGTCATTCAAAGAGTGCTGACACATGACCCACGTGGCTTGTTGTGGACAGAACAGCATGAACAGATGCTTGCGATTTTCACGAAGCTCATCAAGTACCCGGGATCAAAGGGCTGGCATCTGGCCGTTTCATGCCGCTGCCCAGGAGATGAACGCTTTATCAAAGGAGGCATGCGCACGGCTGGCTCGGCAATGATGGATGCTGCTCACTGACGAAGATCCTCATGACGTGTTCATTAGGGCTTCCAAAGGAACACCAGCTGAGAAAAGCAGAGCGCTGATCCAAAACTAATCACCATGTGTCGCCACGAAAATAAATAAAATCATCAAAAGGTTAGCAAGGCAATTCCAATATATCTTTCTACTGTAACATAAAAGGCATGTATAATGTTAAAAAATATCAATGGGAATCTTTAACCAGAAGGTATCAAGATATTACAAAAACATACATGATATATAAGAGACACAAATTGCGTTCAACAGAGGGCATTTGCAGTGTCCTTGACTGATGAAAATTCCAGCCACGGACAGTTGAGGCTTTTTGCTTTGTCTTTTGAATACCAAACTTTTTCTCAATCTTAAAGACTACTAGATATTAGGCTGTTATTGATGCCATAAGCCATGCCTTAAAATACATTATTATGCCCAGAATAGACGAATTAACTCATTGGCGCAAGAATACATTTGCGATTCATCCAAATAATATTACATTTAGGCCAACGGACCAAACAACACTGAACAAACGAAGACAAGTAATATGAGCAACAATACAAACGAGATGGTAAAAATGAGGCAAAAATAATCAACTCTTGAATCAAATCATAACCAGGCATTGTGGAAAATAATCCAATCACTGGTAGAGGAGGGTGGGGGTGGGGGGGCGCAGAGGGAGAATAATTTACATTCCCACGAAACGTACCATACATGCATACAGTCACAAAAATAGGACAATGGAGTCACCTCTCTTTACTTCCTGTTAAAACATTTGACCTTTTTGGGAGAAAATTACAAGCTTTGCTGAGCGAAAATCAATGACCGATGAGTTGGTACTCTCTCCATCATGTGACACCCAGGCTCATGTTGAATAGCTCACGCAATCAATCAATAGGGCTGCACTTTTCTGCAGCAGCCAGCACTGTTGCCAGACTCCCATTTATATCCAAGCAGGATTGCCCCCAATAATTATGAGCCCTTTGTAAATCCACCGTCAGTGATTGGGGGTTGTTTTGACCATACTTCACCACTCTTGGTTTTAATGAAGGTTGGTGACTGGAGGGAGGCTGGGGGAGGGGCAAAACCAGTTCAGATGAAACTCATCGCTGGGATTGAAATGCTAAAGTATGGCCTGAAAAGAGTTTTGTTATTTGAAATGTTTAACATTTGTTCAAGGCAATATTTGAGAAATGTAATATAATTTATTATATTGAAACGGGCTAACGGAGAACTACTGCAATTGCATACTAGTGCATTTACAGGAAAAAAAACCCGGCAAGATACTTGTACATTGAGCTCATGAAACAATTTATACGGCAGTATCGGATGTTGTCCTGGATATGCGGACTTTTTCAAATAATCAGAAAACAGTAAAAATATATATGCATTATAAAAAAACTATTCTGGTTAGAGACCATTTTTTTAGATTGCAGTTGAGAATGAAAATCAATGACTGTCGAAGTAAGTCCTCTTGGCTCTGTCACCAGTTCCATTTTTCACAGGAATGCATGCCCAGCAAATGAGATTGATCAGATTTCCATCACAGTTAGACAAATACTGCATGCCCTCGCTGATTTTCCAATCGTATTCACAACAGCTGTGGCCAATATAGTTAATTGGACTATTGAAGGTATCCTGTGCACATCACATTATTTTGCCATTTTTTGCAAAGACTTCCATAGTCCTGTCACTGATAGTATTACATGTGTTTGTATGGTGGGTGTATGTGCAGATAGGGTAGAGCAGTAGCGCAGTGGCTAGCCCACAATGCTACAAGCTCAGAGAACAGAGTTTCATTCCCACTCATGACCAATAACAGTGGTGAATATTTGAATCGGTCCCGCGCCTCCCCTAAGTCGACTCAGCCATAAATGAGTTCCTGGTACAGTATATAAACATCAGCACTGTGAAGACAAAGGCGGCCAGGCGTGGTGTTGGACCACCAACCCCCTTGTGTGCCATGCCGGTCTTCAAAGGCGCTCGCTAACAGCGCTTGCACCAACAGTCTGTTGAAGGCTATACGAGGGATCATTGTCTTTGTGTGGGTGAATGTTGGTGTACATGCAGATATACGGTACAGTGGTGCACCTTATGAGTGCATCACACTTGTAAATCGTCGTTGGTGATGGAGTGGTTTGCACAATGCAATGCAAACCCTGTAACATCAGTTCAATTCCCTGTCACAGTTATCAGGCCTGGGGGCCTCCCTTAGATCCTCAAATGAGAACCCGGTGTAGCATGCACCCATCAGTACTCGGGTAGACAAAGGCAGTTTTGGCGTCATGCTGGCTATGCCATCCTCTCTTTCGCTATGCAGGCCTTAATAGGTGATCGCTAACAGCATTTTCCCCAACACTCTGTTAAAGGCTATACAGGGAACCTCTGTATTAATATGTGGAGGTAAACCACACGCACGGGTAGAGATGATCATTCCTTCCAAAGTGGCTCTATTCGTTGACGGGTGCCTACTTATTTATTTATAGTGCGATAAGTCGCATGAAGCGCAAGCGCACGGGTTGCGGAGACACGTTTCCAGTGAGAGTGAACCGAAGGATGTTGCAAAATGGAGCGGGGGAATTGGGCCTGAAGCTTCGGTCCTCACCGAGTTGATGTTGGTGATGGAGGTTAAGATGCTCCCACATCCGTTGCTGTACTCCAGGCAGCAGGAGTCAGGGACCTGTTTTTTCTTAAACACGTCGAACCAGTCTGTGTAGTTGCCCACGCCACAGCAATGGAACTGCGAGAGAACACGGTCCGTGTGAGGGCATGTTGGGAGGGGAGAAGACGAATGGTGAATCGAGAAGGTGATGAGGGTGGGGGGGGAGGTGAAGAAGAGGTTGTTGATAGGGTTGCCAAGTATATTGGTTTTCTGAGGACGTCCTCCTTGTGACATAGCCGTCCTGGGAAATCTGTGACTCTTCCCGGGATATTAAAGTCCCCATTTTTCTGTGAGTTGCGTAACAATAAACCACTCAATACACCATTTATACATTTAACACGTAGGCTTTCACGACCAATATTATCCATAAGAGGGGTTTGTTTTTGGTTAGATTGTGTAAATATAAATGTGTCGTTAAATCCGCTACCACCCGACAGAAAATCAGCAAGGTGTGTCACGTAAACAAAACATACCTATTCGCTATTAGTTCAGCACACCAGTGTGTTGGAGAAAAACCCACAACATTTACAATTCGACTACAACGTTTTACGGAACTACGCCTAATTAGGCGTAGTTCCTCCCTATTCTGGTATTGTGAGAGACTCTTATTCCTCATGATATGTCCCAGTTTTTTGTTAGTGCCTTGGAGGTGAAAATGGCTTGGTGTGCTTTTTTTTGTTGCAAGCAGACTGGATGGGTTTGGTTGCCCCGCCTGGATGACCACATTGTTCGGTAAATTGAAATGTGTACACTTTATGCTTACATCAAGTTTTCAAAGTGCTTTTCTATTTATAACTAGCAGACCAGCCCATCCCTTGGACGTAACGTTGGTCCCTGCATCCCTCCCGCCTGATGTCACGTCTCGCTAGCCAGCAAAACAAAATTCTAAAATAGTATGATATTAAATAGTCAGGCTTCTTGATTACTACATGCATTCACCTTTACGTAACATTTACACATGACTGATTTAACTCAATACATCCCGCACCTCCGGTTATCACGGTTGGCTGTGTATGGTGCGAAAAAAGTTCAACGTACATACGTACAGCACCGGCCGCGCATTTGCGTGGTATACAAAGCCAAGGAGTTGGGGGGGGGGAGGGCGTGACGGCTCAACACTGAGGGATACATTCCTCTACCATGCACGTACACTCGCGAGCCAGCCAGCCAGGAACCCAGGGAGGCAGCAACGGGTTTTTTTTTCCTTCAAATATGGTTTGATGCTATGCTGGAAATACCAAACTAGAACCAGCACGATGGGGAATGTTAAAAAGTTGCAACAACAAAAAACATTCGCTACAAATTCATGAATTGCAATTCACGTCACACATTCAAAGTTTATCAACAGTTCACATAAATTTACGGTGGAAAGTCAAAACCTAAGGCAGTCATTTATTATTTTAAAAAAAATCATTACTACAACTTATTTGTGCTTAATGATCTAACAACTGCTCATGTGCAAGTGTTAAATGGCCGATTAAGCCTCATTCACTCCGTAGTGTCCCTCAGCAGCGTCTGCATAGAGGCCCGTGTAAGTGAACTGAGCCTGGGGTGGAATTGGAGTTGGCTGATGAAATATGCTTAGCGAGTCACGTTAAAAACTTCACAAAAGTTGGTTCCACACCAGCGAGTGTAAAAACAAGTATCACCCGAGTAAGTTTACATGACCAGCATGTTAACGTGCCATTATTATAGATTTTTAAAAAAACATTATTCATGACGGATAGCTTAATTGATAAACTGCCTTGGTGTGATCGTGAGCACACTTGGATATGCAATCCAGAGGTGGCCGGTTCAATCACCCAGCACGGCAGTGAAAACAATACGGCAAGCCGCGTTTTTTCTCCCCAGTACTAATTTTGATATCGAATCAGGTACTGTACACAATGTACTCACTTCAGGCTAAGTCGACCTAGAGGAGTCTCAGGATCGGTTCAGACACTCGCCACTGGTGTCAGCCGTGAGTGGGAATGCAACAGAGGCCACTGGGTTCGCAGTGCAGTGTGCTAACAGCTGCGCGAGTATATTCTTGGTTCTTTCGGTAAAGTCACGTTGAAGGGAAACAATAAAATAATAAAATACATATAAAACAATAAAATTCTCACGACGTTTCGACTTTACCGAAAGAACCACGAATATGAATCACTGCAGTCACGAAAGCTTTAAATCAAAATGTACTATACATTCAATATGCATAACACGTAATAGTACAGTATATATAGTAAACCTGCAGTCGATACTATACAGAGGATATGCTCTACATATCCTCTTGATATACCCTGTAGATCAAGATCAAGATGGTGTCATGCCTAAAGTCATTGATGCCACCACACCTCGCCAATGCGTTCTAACCTCTGACAAATCCGGCAGCGTCTGCACAGTGGATAAACGACCTCCAAGATCTACCCTTAAGACTGACAGAGAAACCCACAGAACCACACAGAGGCCCAAAGATCTGCCCTAACAATATCCCCACCATCTGATCCGAGGTGTTTCCCTTTCGTCGCCACCTGTCTCGGCAATCGGCTCTCCCCCAGACGCTGCACACCCACATCTGCTCAATAATATCACACTGTATAGGAAGCGTTCTATGCGTCACGTATGTAGAGCTATATATAGATACAAGTCCTGAGCACCGTAAATCTCGAAAGATTTCGCCAGTGATATTGGGCGAGGGCGACGGTATTTCACGGCGACGTGAACGTGAGCCTCTGCACACGAGTGCCTGAGCCGATATCGGCCCGCGTCTACCGTTTTCTGGACGTCTGTGAAAAACAGCTTCACAGCTCATCGGATTGCTCCAGGATAAATAAAGATTCTGATTGAGAATTTTCCTCCGCCTCTCTTGAGCAGGAAGCACGCATCGACAAGTCACGTCGACAAAGCCTTTTCGCGTGGCAGTTACGGAGACAGAAATCGTCTCGACACTCATGTTGACATTAAACCTGCATGAGAAAAACCCCCATTGAGTGATTCGCGAAAATCACAAAAAGCTATTAGCAAGGTGCTGTTAATGCTATAATGTGATGTAGTAATGACCTTGGCTGAAAGCCATTGCAATAACCAAGAGGGTAAAAAAATATACAAGTCCATCCAATATAAAATGAAATTAAAATGTTAATTCTGTACGTTCTTTCGTCACATTGTAATCACAAAACTGCAATTCAATACATTTAAAGTTTTTATAATTTTTCTCCTGCCATCTTTTGACATGTATTAATATTAAATATGCATATAATACATTTAATATTTATGTCTTCTTCGCTTAAAATACTTTTAAAATTGATATTTTTCACTCTTTCGGGTAACAGAATTGAAAATGCAAATACGGTTTATTTTGAATACTCAAACACGAGATTAAAAATCCCAGGTGGATGCTTACATGATGTAACTGAACGTTGCAGCTAAATAATAATAATAAAATACTTGGATAGCCTGTAGCCACATGCTGTATCATTTTAATAGCAAAGCAATAATCCCTAGAACCACTTTCCAATTACTCTGGCATGAATTTTTGAAGGGTGAAAAATTAAACTGGGACGCATAACATCCACCTGCCGATTGCCCGAGATACTCACATCCGTCTGCACGATGTTCCATGCGTTGGTGAGCCCAACGTTGCCTTGTTGGCCGTACAGCTTAAGGCCATGAATCAGGTCCTTTTGTGCATACGAGTCAATCTGTAGAAGGGAAAAATATACAAATCAGTCAACAAAAATATACAAATAAGTCAATAAATAAATAAAGAGATGGGTAATTGTTATCGCTCTATCGGGCTTTGTGAGCCACGCACAGTCCATCCTTCCACATCACCAGATCCTATGCATTCACTCGTTAACTTGACGATAAGTAATACACACGTGTGTTGATGAGTTTGATGGTGAAGGAGTGGGTCTAGCCGACAGTGGGGTCTGGAACGCTTGACATTGATGTGAATGATGATGCCTTGCAGGATATGGCAAAAAAATTCCCCAATGACATCTGTGGCATAAATATTTCACTTTAATGTGTATTATTTGACATTTCGGAGCCCTGCACATCGCTCATCCCATAAAGATGCAGGACAGTGAAGTGGAGTCGGACATTGCCCATGCTTGATGCATATCGTGCAGAGCCTACGCAGGATTGTGCCATCAATTTTTATAGGTATTGGGGTTGTGGGCAACCTGGCCTTTATATTGGGGTTGTCGAGACAACAGGAATAACTTAGGCATCACCCCCTAGTGATAAAGAAGCCAAGAGTAGGCAGGCTATTTATTATTCATGATCTGTAAACTTATAAGTCTTAATTGTACAGTGTAAAATATCAACTCGATAAGTTTACTATACTTCGGCAAAGTTATTTTTTATACGATAAGGCAAGAATGGGAAAACAGAAGTTAAGTTTGGAATGTAATCATTATCATGCTAAGTTTGTGTTGAAAGTGTAGCATGAGTCGATATAAAAAGTGTAACCAAGATTCAACACTTTAAGAAATGCTAATCTCTGAACAGATTTTAATTCAGAAAACGCCACAACTCGGTTTCAATGTTTGGAGAACATTACAATTGTTTATTAATTCTGCTGTGACCTTAACAAGTGATTCCTAAGGCAGTACACACTGCAAAATCTGATTGCGCTGGTATTATATTCTTAAAGGTCAAAATAAGGAGAGAACATTTTTACTTTAAATACCTATATGATGCTACTGCTTTATTTTTCTCTTCTAGTATGGCACTGTTTTCAAGGCTTAGTCGCATAAACCATTGCTATTTTTATTGAAATATTAGCATAGGTTGTAATCGTATTTTAAGTCTTTGCTGTGCATGAGCACGTACAACATGGACACGATAACCTTGCAAATTAGGCAATCTACCTTGCACATGACTAACAAATTGGCAGGTGTAAAAGTACGTCTGTGTGAGGAGCTGTGAAGGACAGGCGTCGAGTGACTCCTCACAGGTGAGTCACTGTAAACTAACAAAACCAATGTGGGGCACATTTAGGTGAGATGGGATGATTAATTACAATTATCATCGCTACTATAGTTATGTCATGCTCCCAATACATCTTCTTTAGAATTAAGCATGCCAGCTAATGTTATGCAGATAATAGCAATTCAATGCAGGATTCACTACACCAGCAACATTAATGCTAATTATTTTGATGTAAATATAACTCTCAATATATAACCGAATCATAAACTGCTACCGCAATTAAATAAGTAAATTAACACATACGTTGTTGCATTTTCTTTTTTACTTCCTAATATCACAAGCTGTATTTCTTCACGTGCTCTATTGTAGCTTAATTTGGCTTCGTTTTGCTTGCACTTTTAATCTGCAAAGCGTAATGTGCGTTATTTTATTATAGGATCCATCCTCTGTAAGTTTGTCCAAATATGCGTTTATGTGGCGAAAAAAATCGGCTCTTGTTCTCAATGGGCTCTTAGTTACCGCATGGAGCTGGCGGCCTCCATACAGCATGTCGGCCACGTAAGGTTGTTTGACCATACTTCACGATGCTGGTCAATGCGGTGTGACCCTACCCGGTTGTAAATAAAAGTTTCCGTCTATACGTCTGTCTGTCCGTAATGCATTGGTAATGTGCCTGCCTGGATGTCAGTCTTTTTTCACAGCTGTTGCCCATGTATTAAAAGTATTCGATCACATTCGATGGGCAATAGCCAGTCATCATTGCTTCAGTATTCATTAAAATAAGAAAAACATGTAAAAGTGGACGCAAATCATCGTCTGCAATAAATAAAAGTAGCGTAGTTTTGCACAGTCATTTCAGAATCGTGTTTTACTTAAAAGTTGACAATGCCTTTCATTATCTTGTGTACTTATGTAGAAACCGTTGCTTGTAATGGTTTAAATCAAGGAACCTCAACGGCCCATCCAAAATTCCCCCTGCAATCGATCCCTGCAATCAACCTGTCAACTAATCCTTCAGGCTCACAATCCCCAGTGGCTTCAGTGTTTGCTATTAGCACTTGTTTATTGGTAGATAACAGAGGTAAAGTGTGGTCAATTGCTATTGGGAGACATGTTATTTGCTAAATTGAAAACCAAATTAAAACTGCCGGTTATTTGTCTACAGTGTTGGCTCCATGGCCCTTAATTAGGCATGACACACACGCACACACAGAGAGTGCAGTCAGGTAAGGGACACTGTGTTCCATTCTTTAGTCAATGCTGATCAGGCCACGTTCAACATGCTGGTGTTTCTGGAAGCGAGAGTAAATCTCTTTGACTCGGCCCAGCGGAAGCACGTTCGCCGCTTGTTGCAGAAGTTCCCGATTCGAATCCGGCAGCTGCCCTGGTAATTACCGCGAGTTTATTAACCATAATAATACACACTGTCTGCTTCAGAGTGGACATTAACGATCCCGTGATGTGATTCGCGAGAGTAGGCCGTTGTATCCAGCATCACGTGCCCAGATTGACCAAACTATGCAAATTACTTCAATTGCACGTGACACAATCGTTGCCCGAACTGCTGGACCATCCTGAAAAAAGATTAATGGGACTCAGTGAGGCATTTCTGGGTAAGGAATCATAATAATAATCGTGACCTCCTTTATGGGACAAAGTAGCTCAAACCAGCAAGTTTGTAGTTTATGTGGACAAGCCAATAAGTGGGATCTACTATTGCATAGGTTACTGCCGTTCCAATACTTTTTGGGTTGTACTCATGTGTTGTTCGACACGACGTCTGATGTTTTGCTCCACGTGCCGTTTCTAAAGAAGCTTCCAGCAAGCAAAACATCAGCCACCATGTCAGACAATATGCAGTAAAACAAATACCAAGCTATGGATCCATACAATGGGATCTCACACAATGAATCAACCACCTACAATTTGACATCGTGCCTCGCAAATAAGAAGGCTTCGTGGACTCTGGTGGGAAGCACCCTGCTGAGAAAACAATTAATGGATGCCATTTAATTTACAACAGTCAGATCTCTTATTAATTGCAGACATCTGTGGCTGTCTACTTAATTAAGTTGTTACCACTTTCTCAGTGAAGAGAGCTGTAATGTGTGCAGGATGTGCTTCGTATAGTAAAACGGTTACATCATTGTGTGCAGATTTCAAAGTCATGAAAAAATAGTTTTTTTGCAATAGCACTAATGATGTTATATATAATACATGTACTAACATAATTTTGTATGTTTTATATTGACAATTCTTCATTAAAAGCATGCATTATATAAAAATTGCTTTATCTTTCAGCAAATGTGTTTTCAAAACACGTTAATTAATTTGTTACCGACTTGCTATAAAACGGCAATGTTGTGACAGACTGATAGGCAAAAAAATACACTTTGTAGTGCAAGATTAGTGAGTAAAACTCGTGCATGCTAATGATGCAATACGCCATATTTAAAGCCGGGTACATTTCCTTCATTTTTCCTTTTGTGTTTTTTTTTGTGAGATGATGTGCCGCCAACGATGTCCGCGAGCCATTTATTTGTGAACACTCCTCAGAGTACCTGGCATTCAAAATAAACAAAAAAAAACTGCGGCTGTGATTCTTCACACGCGTGGCACACTGACAAAAACATTACGCGTGTTTGCTTTGCTGCCAGTGTGGGTCCATTGGGAAAATTGACGGCCGAACACAATAGGAAACTGGTTTGCACCGGCCGCTTCAGTCATACCTTGTCAAACAGATATCACAGCATTCCCCTTGGATTAATTATTTGTAATTACTTAAGCAGCACAACATGCCAGATTTTAGCAGCGGGAGAAGTTCGGAGCTTACTTTCAAACAATGATTGTACCACTCACAACATTCATTTGTTATAAGCTGTGGTTTTAAGCCAAGGTCAATACATTCAGAAATGTAACGCATTCTATTTATTGTAAAAATGCGTTCAATATAATACGTGCTTCATAATTATTGATTATTTCCCACTTGAGTGAACATTACATGTAATACCATAGTGACAATGCGTGTTCTTCATATGTAACATGGTCAAATATTCTGCAGCTAACACGGCATGCTCATGAGCTCAGAAATATATTGCATTCAATACCACACTCGTCATTTGATATACAAGAATTCTCAGTAAACCACAACTCGGCCTTGATGATCAGCAATGCGGGGAAGTCCTCACACTCACATCAAAGAATTATTTAAAATATTTCACCTGACTGTTGCAACATTCCACTATTCAGATATGTCACGACAAATTGTATATTTTTTACTTTCAGTGTGACAAATACAGTTTTTGCTACCAGAGCACTCACCCCGCCAATGTGTTCCACTGCTGACATGAGGCAGAGTTACAGAAATCAAACCCTCCCACGGGACATGTGTTGGCAATACAAGACTAAGAAGATAAAGGGGGGAAATTGCCAGTCGTGAACAAAACAGTCACCTTGAATTTCCAAGGTGAAGCGGCCTCCTCCGAGGCTGAATGGACCACTTAGATCCAAAAAAAAAAACGCACAAAATGCAGTTTTCAACTGAAACACCCCATTCTTTTGCAACCGTGGGAAATTTCACCCTTTTATAGAGAGTGACAGAGGCAATAACAAAGCGATTGATGAACAAAAAAAATATATGCGTAACATACCACATCCTCGTAAACGATGAACAAGATGCCCCCAATCAGCTGCAGCGTGAAGATGATCAGGAGCAGGATGAAAAACTGTGAAGATTGGAAGACAACATTAAACAAATATACGAGGTTGTAAATAAAAGCATTTTAGATTACTAAGGAATTAAAATTAGACAGTAGTTTAAAAAGCATGGCTGAAACATCAGCGATGTATTCATTATATCTTGATTTGAAGCTTTCGTGACTGCAGGAATCCATACTCTTTGGTTCTTTCGGTAAAAGCCACAGAGGTAGAAAAATAATAGATCACGGCATTTCGATCACAACACAAGCAATCGTCATCAGGTGGGACAACCACAGCAAGAAAAAGTTGCTGAAATAGGCGAGAGATCTGCCATGGCACGAGGTTATATAGTAGGCCTCGGCAGTAGGGGGGAGAGAGAATGGGGGTGGGGGAGGAAGGAGGCGGGGCAGAAAGTGGACTGGAGAGATCGGCCGCAGTGCTGCCGCGGTGGTCCACTTCACTCCAGTGACCTGGGTACTGCTGCAGGGTCCACTTTCTGCCCCGCCTCCTTCCCCCCCCCCCTTCTCTCTCCCCCCCTCCCTACTGCCGAGGCCTACTATATAACCTCGTGCCACGGCAGATCTCTCGCCTACTTCAGCAGTTTGTTTCTTGCTGTGGTTGTCCCACCTGATGACGGTTGCTTGTGTTGCGACCGAAACATCGTGATCTATTATTTTTATACCTACGTGACTTTACCGAAAGAACCAAAGAGTATGTATTCATTATATGTTTTAAAGTGTATGCCAAAAAACTGAAATGCTTGAGTGAACTTTAACAGCACACAAAGTGGAAGCATTCAAAATAATTGTGCTCAAGAAGTTGGTGAACATCTGTGAATCCCTCCAACGTCAATACTACGTGTGTCATTGACACCATGGTGGATATGTGTCAGTTTAGAGGGATGAATCTCATACGATGAAACCTTCATACGACAGAGAGTGTGGATGGGTGTGTATAGTTCTATAGACTATCCAGTGGTTAACGCGCTGTGTAACGAATCTGGTGACCCGAATTTAATTCCTGTTCAAGGCAAACACCAGTGACAATTATATGAATAGGTCCTGCGCCTCCCCTAGATCGACGCAGCCTCAAATGAGTACTTGGTTTCGTGTGTAAAAATCGCCACTAGTAAAACAAAGATGGCCGGGCGTGGTGGTGGCCACCTTGTGTACCGTGCCAGCCTTCTTAGGTGCTCGCTTACAGTACTTGCCCTAAAAAGTGTGTAAGGTTTTACGTGGGAAATATGTATAGTTGTATCAACCAAGCTAAAACTGCTAATTATAATTCTTTAATATTGCACGGTACCTTTAGGGATATGCCGTAAATTATGTTTATAATTACCGAGCAAAACAAAAAAGGCTTAATTTGGATTCTTGTACATTTCTGGTCGATAATTTTTATTACCAGACAAATCTGAGGCTCTAATTTTCGACAAAATTGCCAAAAAAATATACGAGTCAGTGTGTTGAATAATAGGCATGTGGTCCGCGTGCATATTTATAGGGCATGGCTGAAAGCATTAAAAGTGTATCCACGCAGGCTGAGATAATATGCAATAGGGGCTAAGATGGTAATGCGGCAAGGAGAAATGAGCTATTTGTATGTTCTCATTGAGTGAATATGTTTACGCATTAAGCAAGGTACTTTCTCATTGCTGAATAAGCTAGCCTGTCGTGGTAAATTACATTTACAATCCTGAACTAATTTCTTTTTCGAAATATTGCTGGAGCTCACACGTTGAACCACATTTTCCCCTCATTAATTTAGTTCATATTCTAGCACTTCACGTGTATTTTTGTAAAGAGGTCATTGCAACCAGCGTCCAATTTCTCGTGGAATATTTTCTGAGGGGCCCCCACATGACTGAAATTAAGCCCCAATTATACATTTTACCACAATTTCTTTTAAATCTCATCTTAAAACATGACAACCCTGTTGAGTAATTACATAGTTGCAGTGAACATTACATCCAGAAAATACGTAAACTAGGATTCGTAAAAAAAAAAAATTACTGCCAATTTAAAATAAAGTGCTTGAAATCATTGTCTCCGAAGCCTTTATTGTGCATGAGTGTGCATATTTTACAGGCCCTTAATTCCCACAATGATTTCAAATTGAATGCGATTCGGGTCGGAGGGGCGTGCACTCTTTCCGCAAACAAGCACCCTTTGCAGAGCCGTCATTTGGGCCGTCGTTTTGGCGGTTTCCTTCGAGAATGAAAATCCACGGGAGCGGCAGAAGGTGAGCGCGCTTAAAAACGCGGCACCGGGGGCGCGCGAGTGGAAGGGGCTTACCGTGAGCAGCAGGGCGCGGTTTTCTTTGATGGCTCCCAGGCAGCCGAGAAAGCCCACAATCATCATGATGGTTCCACCGGCAATAAGAAGGTTGGCAGCCGTGAGGAGTGGGAAGGCCGGCGAGAGGGTCGCAAAATTCCCCTGAGTGACCGACAGCCAAATGCCCACACCCAGAATGCCACAGCCACCGAGCTGCAAGAGTAGACGTGCACAAAAGCACCACATTTTATTCTAGCCACCTCCCTTCATGCACGGAAGAGGCTCATTAGTTTGGTGACATCATGAACGTTAATTAATAACTACTGTACCACACTGTGTCCCGCTGAGAGCGAGACGGAGTAATATATTGCGTGTAAAGAGCTCATGTTACTATTCCTCGAACATGTGAATGTAATTTGCCACCAACAAATACAGATTACACTTATACAGAGCATAACTTGCACTTTAAGTTGTGTGTTACTGCTGATAATGATTACAAATATGTGGCGTTGATGATGCTCATGTTGATGCAATGAAAATAGCATCTATGTTTGTGATAAACATTTGCAATTCACATACATGATTACAACGTCCACAACATGTGCTGTTACCCTTCAATCACCCATTTGAAATTATGAAGACATGGACCAAATTGGAAAAGTCATCGGGATATATAAACAGTGTTTGTGCCTGGCACATATGAATTGTGGTCATTGGAGATGACCTAAACTCACAAATTATGGTTTAAATTTAACTGCATTGCCAACTAGAGATGCCCACTGTTCATAACAGATGGGCAGGGCACATACCATACAGCATATTACACCATTTTCAGGAGCGGAGATGAATTTTTTTTTAATATTTTTATTCAACAGTAATAAAATCAGGTAGTTTGTTTTTACTTTGTTCCAAAGTCAGTGGGAGTGGTAAAATCCCCTTGGCAGATCTAAAGAGCTCCGCAGAGTGCAAGACCCATTCACACTGGGTCCACGCTGCTCCTTTTGCCCATAACAGCCTCCATGTTGCGGAATGTTTGCTAACGGCAGACACAGAAGGGGGCCCTCCCTCCCCGTGCGAGAGCTGCCTGACACGGATGACGCGAACGAGCAAAAAAAAACCCCACCACCCCATGCATCCTCGTCGCGATTAACGCCAAGGTCGCAGAGGCGCAGATCGGCTACCTGGGCGGCAGGCAAGCAGACGTGCACCAACATCACCGCCGCCACCACCACAACTTCCATTCTCGTACCGCCACCACACTCTTCAGTGGCGTTTCTAGCCCACGGGAAGTGCAATCGTTTTTTTTTGCTTTTACTGCACAGCTGGAGTCCTAAGTCACGCGTTAACGATAAATGCAATTAAGACTTCCTTGAGTGATAACAGGTGCGGTGAAGTGAGTTGATATTCGGAAAGCAGGTGGCAAGCCAAGTGTAAGGTCCCCCGCTCCCCAAACCCCCCTTTCTTTCAGCCTGTCCATCCACCATGGGAAAGTGGGCCTTGCGCCTGCGATAACGCGAATTCACGCCGGCACAGACGTGGCCTAAACGCAGCACATGAGCCATTTTTTCCCGTTGTTAGCAGTGGATGTAATCGACAGGTCTTCACCAATATCACATGAAAATTCACTTTCGTCAAGATTTTGACTTAAAACTTTCGTGACGGCAAGAATGAATATTCTTGGTTCTTTTGGTAAAGTCACGTAGATAGAAAATAAAAAGAATAAAATAAATACATTGAAAATAAGAATATTATTTTCAATTTCTAGATTTTGTTGAAAAACTATTTTTATTTTATATCTACGTGATTTTACCGAAAGAACCAAGAATATTTCGTCAAGATGTGGAGTGGGCGCGATATGTGGGATATTCCCTTATTGATTAGTTTTTTTTTACAACAGAATTAAGAATGCTGCCGCAGTGTAATGGTAGGCACGCACTGAACCTGAAATTAAGGTCACCAGCTCGATCTCCCAGCGTGGCAATTAACACAATGATCAGGTGGATTAAATTCGCCCTCGCCTCTGTCCACCCAGCAGTATGAATGACTACACCACAGTTAGTCGATCGGCAGGCTATGTGTCGTAGGATAGAGTGTCTCGATTCCCACCTCTTCCAAGCCATCTGGTCAGCGTGGAAGAGTAGGCCAAGTACTTCAAGAGAGGCTCTCTAGAGCTCCCTCGAGTGGAGGCCCTTCAACGAGCAGTGGCGTGAACAAGAATTTGCAGCACTGCGCCTTTACCGTTTACACAAGGATTGTGGGGGGGAAGGACATAAGGCATGGCTATGTGATATCTAGCTCCACACAATCCCTGCAGGGATTATTAGTGCAAACTGCCAAGGGGTGGCCAAATGGTTAAGGTCCTCTGCCCTTTATTTATGAGCCAGCCAGAATACCATTATAATACATCAGTGTGAGCTACCACTGCACTCTCCCTGTTGCCAGACTTTGATAATGCTGATTTACCTTGACAGCTAAAATACGCACAAAGGAAAACAAAATCCTTATATATTCCAAAGAAACGCATTAGGTTCCAAATATGACAAGAATAATGATTTTTATGCAGATTTTTTTGCAGCAACAAGACAGTCACAGAAGACATTACTGTAGTTTAAACAAAAACAACTTCACATTTAAATGCTAAAAAGACCCAAATTCAGTGTGAATTAAATTAAAGACAAACAAGTACATTAAGTAATCTTAAAAAGTTGACCACTTTTTCACTTGGCAAGTTCACATTGAAGTGGACAACCAAGTTTATTTGAAAACTTCCTTGGTGCACCTTCAATATTGTGCAAAACTATAAATCAGATAGAAACCACACAAGCGATTCCACAAAATGCCTCTGTTAAAGAGATTTGTTAGGGAGCCCATGGCAGTCCCAGACAAATGGATTAGTAGCTGAACTAAACTAGTTAACATTCTGGCAATCGGTGAACAAGCAGCAAATCAAGATGTCATCGATCGACGCAGCCAAAATTTCAGACCGCCACTGCGTGACTGGATGGACAAAAGAGGTGACTGAGAAGCGTGTGCCATTTTTTGTTGTTGTTATTCATTGCACAAATTGGCAGCTGTGTACATTTTAATAATCTGAGCTTTTTTTTCCTTCCGTTCAATTTTATTGCAAACATAATGTATGTATGTGTATGTATGTTGAACTTCTTTCGCATCGTGCATTGCCAAACCATGCTGATTGAATCAGAGGTGCGGGGAAGGACAACAAACTAAATCAAAACGCACTGCTAAAAAAAAGAACCGGGTTATCAGTTTAGTTTGCGTGGAACAATATTAACGATATTAACATCGACGGTTCTGCCGTCACTTTTAATCTGAGCAAAAAACTCCCGAAGATGCCTGCAGCAGTAGCGTGTGGTGAAAGCTGGAGAGAATAAATGTTCAACACGCAGCCCAAGCCCAAAAAAATACACTTGGAATATTAACGTGTAGCAATGTATAAGCTCTACCTCCTAAATACATTTCCTAATTTGTGCATATTGACCTATCAAAAAGGTACTATGCATATTTTAGTGGGCTCATTACCGAGACGTATATTATTAAATAACATGGTGGATGACAGCAGGTTGGATTAAAAAATTATGTTTCAGGAAATACACTAAAATACGTACAACTATAACATTATCGAATAGAAAATTGCACATTCAACAACTGGTGCAAGCCCTCCGCACCATAAAAAAACAATTTATAATAATGTCATTTATCACCACGAGCATGCTGTCCATTACCGATAACATTTCACCAAACTTTTCACTGTGAAAAAAACACACGAGCAATGTAATAACAAAGCCGTAATGTTATTCTGCATCAAAAGACCAAACAAAAAAATAGATGAGGGGCAGATAAGTTGGGGGAGTGAAGCAGAGAAATATGAAAAGTAAAAAAGTATGAGAAATTATATGGATCAAAACAAACACAAGGAAATATTGAAATCGTGAGAAAGTGAAATATCCTTCATATTGTAACATACTGCAGCTTATTACTGGGATATGAGAAAGAGATATAGATGAAGAGATACAAAAAAACGGATACACATTTAAACCAGGATTCATAAGAACACGTAATACCTCTGCATGTGAACACAGTAGCGAAAAAAGCTACGGAACTTCACAGAAAAACACTGAAAATCTATATATATAAAAAAATACAGATTTATAAAGGACAACGAAGGGTTACAGAAAAGCAGAGGAATACATTTAACACTGAAAACAGATAAATATGTACAAAGCAAAAAAAGGGAATGACACGAACGCATACAGATTAAGACGGAGGGACCTGACATCAGCGAAAAACAAAAGAGGTCCTGGGAATGACAAGGTGTGAGTGTGATAGCGCAAGCGATAAAGACAGAGCACGGGTCTCCAAGGTGACTTCCTCCAAACAAAGCACACGTAGTCATGCAGAGTGCCTTGTCCCACAACTCCAGCTGTGAGTCAAGGCACCGAGGATCAAACACCCCGCTATACCACACCTCCTAATGACGCCTGCAAAGGACGACACTGGAGTTCAACAAAGGCGCATGAGCAAAACCCCTTGTGAATCAAAAGGCTTGGGGGGGGGGGGTGCATTTTGATATTAAAAAACAGAAGTGACGATCCCAGTTTAAAAATAAAAGTTTACACATGCAAAAAGGCCAACATAATTGCTTCTCAGCAGCCAAAATGCACGTAGTTAATTGCCAATGCGGTAAAACTGCTATGCTGTAAAATACTTAACGTTGGTGTTGTTGGTAAGTGTGCATGCAACTACTCAAAGAAGTAGCTAAAATTAAACACAACAGAACACAAATGTGAAGTTGCAGTAATCCTCTGGACTACATCATTTCATAGATGGCCATCGACCATATTACATACGAGTAATACGATTTGGAAAAAGACCGATGAACGTTAACATCATTGTGCCCAGCCTTTACGTGGCCTCAACGTGCACGTAGCCTGGCACAAGCGTCGTGGTGACGTGACCACCACTTAGTGGCGAATGGCGGTTGTTGTTATAGTTGCTTAGCCTTTGTAGACTATGAAATCGCATTCAATACTGACAGCCATCCAAGCTCTCAAAAACCAAGGCCTAAATAATGTTTTCCAAATGGCGAGAATATTAACCGTCCCAGATTTGCTGGTGGAATCGTAATTGTAACATCGCATATGGGAATAACCTACAGGAAATGTTAGAGGAACTTAATAGGGAAGGCTGTAAAG